CCCCAAAACCCCAAAACCCCGCATAGAGGATTTAGCTAAAAATAGGATTATAAATTAATTAGTGTTGATTATTGAAAATAAGACACAATATCTCTGGTTACCTTAATAAGATTTACATCAATATGCCCCCTCAAGCATGCTACCTATTGCTTCTTGTCTATTCATGCTTCTTGTTAAAATGGCAATTTTGATAAGTATCTTAGTTAAATATGTACTAGTTAATCTTATTTTATTCATAAATGGTTTTAGTTTTAATCGATGTTAGTTAGTCATCTTAATTACTTAAGTGTTCCTTTGAGTTTGCTCTTATTGTGACCAAGCTGTTTTAATGGTTCTATTGAATTCATAAATTACTTTATAACTTAGACCCCCTTCTTTTGATGACATTCGACTTCTTCTCCTTTGGTTTTAGTAAAAATTAGCCTTCCTCTTCAATGCAAGTATCTTTAAAACTAACTCTTCTCCGGAAATTCGGACTACCCCCTCCCTCAGCATTTTTAAATTCTGGCTTTGATAACTTACTAGCTAGTGTATTGGATAGCTGCATGTGATTTCCTCTAAACTTGAAAATGCTATTTTGCTCCTTTATTGTTGAATTTTTTCTTTCAGCTCCACTTATCTGTGTATTCAATGTGCTTGTTTTATTATGATAACTAGAAGTCCTAAACTGCAAGCCACTTGACATCCAAATAGGTCTCTTCGATTCGTTGATTGGTAATTTATCTTTGGAGTTTGTTTAGTTTTAGCGGAATCTATTTCTTATGCAACCGCATTTGTAAATGTTTTTACTAAACTCGAATGCCACATGACTCATCATTTTCAGCAAGCCCTCTATAATTATACATGTAATAGGAATTAAATGAGACTTACTAAATAAAGCTTAAGTGTTATTAGTTTTATAACAGTAGACTGCATATTCTTTGAAAGATTTTGGAAGATTAATCTCAGGTTTTCTTTCCTTGTCTAGAAAGTAGCTACTTTGGTGATAGATTTCCTTGATGATAAACTCTCTTTTGAGTTTGGACATCTCTCTGACGATTTCATCTTAAGTGGGAATTTCTCCTTTGAGCCAGGGATGATTTCTGATATCCTTGATGGTGGGGCGATCATAAAAGTGGTATGACATCATGGAGAGAACAAGTTATTTGAAATCTTTAGAATAATCAGTTTTTGCATTTACTACTACTTCTTCTTTTTCCTCTTCCTCTTTAGGAGCTAATTCATACTATGGCCTGGGTGATGCAGCTCTTGAAAGAGTGATATTACTTGGAGAACTGTTTTATTCGTTCTCCTCTGTATCCTACTGATGTGGTCTGATTCGTTTGCATGTTTAACTTATCGAAGTTTAAATTTAATTAAATACTGACCAAAATTAATCATTTAAGGTAACCTCCTCAGGGGGTCTATCACTTATATCATCGGCGACATCTTCTCTTTGGTTGTATTGCCTCCAAGATGCCCAGAATTTATCTGTTTACTTTTGATAAACGTGTTTATATAGAGGGTCTTTAATATTGGCTTCTTTTTGGTAAGGAAGAGTTCCTGTAACCATCAGAAACAGAATAACACCTATCGAAAATATATCGACGTACTCGCCTCGATAAGATCTTCTTTCCAGAACTTCCGGGGCTTAGTATTGACGGGTTCCCACTTAAGAGTAGTGTATACCTAGACCGTAGTTGCCTTCTTTTTTTGATGAAAGACCGAAGTCAGCAATCTTTAGATCGTACTTCTAATTAAGGAGCAAATTTTCTGGTTTCAAGTCTCTATGGACTATACCTGCGGTTTGATGGAGATATTCGATAGCGCTTAGGAGCTAAAGGAAGTAATACCTAGCGAATCTTTCATTGAACCCTCCCTGGTTATACTTCGCCTTGATAAAAGAGAACAGGTCTCCTTATTCTACAAGTTCGAGGACGATAAAGAAGACTTGGATTGCTTTTCCGCTTGGTTTGATTATGAGTTCCCCCTCGCAGTTATACTCCACTAATTTGATGATGTTTGGATGGTTCATCGACTGAATTAGAGTCACTTCATTGGATAGGATTTTCTTGAAGGCTGAGAGATTGATTTGCTCGACCTTGTGACGCTTTAAAATTTTAATCGCAAAGAACCTTTAATTTTCAAGAGATTTGGCCAATTTAACTCTAAATATTTGACTTTAAATCGAATTAGATACTTACTTGGAACAAAAACCTTTTCCTATAGTTTTTAGCAATTTGTACTTTTTAATCGAGGCTACCTGCTGTTTGAAGGAAGCAGAATCTGATTCCTCATTGGTTGAGTAGTCGAAAGGATTTTTATGAGTCAGCCGATCTCCATTATTATTTATCATGCAATTATTTTAGTTTAATTTAATAGATGGACATAAATTGGCAGAATATTAATTCACAGATTACGTAATGTTTTATCTTCAATTACTTTTCCATTAATTTTTAGCAATAGATGGTATTCGGGGTTTTGGGGTTTTGGGGTTTTGGGG